TATGATGCTAAGAACACTTTCCTTGGAATAAGCCCCATTGACTAGGCCTATGTAGACCTTTTAAGGGTCACTTTAAAACATTGCATGTACGGCAAACCTACAGATCACATGTGATGCTTAAAAAGGTAAAGGTTCTCTTGCTCGAAAGCCAGTCGAATCCGACTCTACGGTTGCGGTGCTCATCTCCGTTTCAAAGCCGAAGAGCCAGTGCTGTCCTAAGCCACTGTAATTATTTGTTTCTTGACATAAACTGTCAGTATGACAAATAAAGATTCCAAGCTGCTAACACTCAAACTATGTCCAAAGGTAAATATTTCTGACCAGGACAGCTTTTAGCAATAAAACTAATGACAAAAGATAACCGACTGTAAAAAAGCTAGATACTCTGAAATACCCACAGCAACTGATTTCTCTCACAATGTGCAAAGAAACAGACCCCACTAGAACAAACAGCATACAAACCCTGCCAAAACCCTATGATATCACAAAGAGTGCCCTTCTCCAGATTAAAGCATGTAAACAGGAATGTTTGAATAATGATCCTACCACTGAAGCAGAAGGTGGCTACTGGAGTAAACAGGAAGGGCTAGGTCTGCTCAAGGGAGAGGATTTAGCAGATGTATCACTTGATGGGGGGGGGGAGAAGAGGGAGAGAAAATGGCAGGGTCAGGTTTGTCTTAGTAAGAAAGACAGCAGTAAGAGGCAGATGTATGGAGGACAATGCAATGCAAAACAGCAAGGCCAAATACACCTAGGAAAATCAGGTAGGCAGAGATCCAGTTCCCAGAAAGTATACAGGTAAGGTGGCACAGGTAGGGCTGCGTGTGCCCTAAAGGGTAAGAGATAGGACAGAAAGATAGCTTTATCTAGCAAGGGAAGGGAAAGGCAGAAACAAGACACGGGGTTGGTAAGCCTAGAGGTGCCAACACAAAGACGGAAAATTGCAGGAAGATAAAGGGATGGATAAAACACTGGACGCACTTCACCAGGCAGGAAGGTGGGGGGGGGAGAATTTTAAAAAGCTTCCCTGGGTGGGTAAACGAAATGGCGGGGAGGGGGATAAAAGAGGGGAAAGTATGAAGAAGAATGAGGGGGTCGAAAGAGAAAAAGATGAGTGAGGCGAGCCTTCGGGGGGGAAAGGAAATAAAAATGCGCGGTGGGGGGGGGCGGGGGTGGTGGGGGTGGGGGAGATTCAGGGCCGGTCTCTCCAGGAGGAAAAAAGCTGGAGGAAAGGAGGAAGCTCGCTCGCTCTCTCTCTGCTTCCCCGGCTCCCCTAGCGACACTAGCAGGCTAGCTCAGGCAGGCGGACGGACCCACTGACCTGGCCGCACGGTCTTGAGGCGCACGGGCTCCCTGAAGTGGCGAATGACGGCCAGGGTGTCTCGGTGGGTGAGGCCGCTGACAGGGGTGCCGTTGACCTCCAGCAGTACGTCGCCGGGGCTGGGGGGCTTCCCCGAGAGCAGCACGGGGCCGGTCCCACCACCGCCCGGTTCGGCCAGCGTCGGCAGGCGGGCCCCGAGGTAAGGGAACTCGCCGCGCTCGGCGCCGCCCCGCAGCCAGTCGGGATTCGGGCCGGAGCCGCCGCCGCCGCCCCCCCAGGACACGGCGCACTCTTGCACCTTGCTCAGCCAGTGCCGCTTCCTCCGCAGCGTCTTAGACATCAGGCCGCACCATCAGCACCCCTCCGCCCGCGCGCTGCCCTGTCCCGCCGCTGCCGCCTTCACCAAGCCCCTCTCGCACGGCCGGCCAACCCTCAGCGCGCGCACCCGCTCGCGCCCCCTTCCTTTCGGCCAGCGCCGGCCGCAGCTGCCTCCCAACTGGCGCCCTCAGCGCGGCAGCAGGGACACGCCCCCTTCTCCCTATTGGCCACACCTCTTTTTTTCCCCTACTGTTGCCTTCAGCACCGCCCAACATTCCTGGGGCGGGGCTAAGGGTACTGACGTCAGGGGAAAGAACTTTCAGGGACGACGGGTTATGCATAAAACTTCATGACGATGCGTGGCATACAACAGTTAAGATTAATGGCCCTGCTCAGAAGCCCTTTCGTACCCCAACAAGGAATAGTTTCGCTCTAAGTTAGTATGCTTACAATTTAATTGTGCCGGAGGAGATGGTTTATAGATCTGTAGTTGGAACGATGCCATTCGCAAATCCTCTGAAACCTCATAAACTTCTCCCTCCCCTTCCGAATGCTCATAAATGTCAACAGAACTTGCTTCCAAGATCACGTGCTCAGGATAGATTTATAACCCCAGTTTATGCATGTTCTCTAGGAAGTTCTGATGCTTACTCCGAAGGAAGCATGCATGGCGGGTAGGAAATGGCACAAACAGTATCCGCGGATTCTGAAAGGTACTTTGTAATATCCCGTGCAAAAAATGCCCTTAGTTGATTGCAGTTTTGAGCAAGCAATTCCTGGTTTAAGCGATTTTTACATAGTACTTCTGCCCTTTTCCTACTTTCTCGGGATTGCTTCCCGCCTCTAGTTAGTTTTCTGAACACCTCGGGTTCTCATTAACTACATCCTTTTTGCTCGCTTTCTCTCTCTCTCTCTCTCAGTCACTCCCATGTTCTAGTCAGGATTGTCAAGAACCATCCATGGACCACAGACAAAGATTACCTTTAGGTCACCCCTCCTATCACCCAGACCCAATGAAACTACCATATTTATTTTAATTAAAACATTTTAGCCACCTTTCCACCTAACAGGAACTCAAGGCAGCTTACAGTGTGAACAGCAGTAAAAACCACTGACTTTAAATCAATTATTTAAAATTGAAATTCAAGAAGACAAAAGTAATGACTACTGGGAATTACACATCTTTAACATTGATGATGATGATGATGATGATGATGATGAAACTGAAATTGTTAAAGATTTTCTATTCCTTGGCTCCATCATCAACCAAAAAGGAGGCTCTAACCAAGACTGAGATTAGGAAGGGTAGCCATGAAGGAGCTAGAAAAGATCCTTCAGTGTAAGGATGTATTGCTGATTACCAAGATCGAGTTAATTCATGCTATAGTACTCCCCATTACCATGTACTGGTGTCAGAATTGGACAACAAAGAAAGCTGACAGGAAGAAAGTTTATTAATTTGAAGTGTGGTACAGGAGAAGAGTTTTATGGATACCATGGACCACCAAAAAGACAAATAAGTGGGTTCTTAATCAAATTAAACGTAAACTCTCCCAGAAGCTAAAATGATTAAACTGATGCTATTGTACTTTGGTCACATTATGGGAAGACAAGAGTCACTGAAAAATTTAACGGTACTTTACACACACTTGATAATTATTGATTACTAGAGTTCTATGTGCACTTTTTCAATCCCATTCCTCACATTTTTTAAAAAAAATTTTTTTTTATTTTGTTGTGAACAATGATAAATGACAATTATATCAATAAATACAGACAGTTTAACTTGAAATTCGAGTAACAACGTGTATAAAACTATGAGTGACCAATATAGGAAAGCATTTAACTGGAAGTACAGAACAGCATATTTATAGCAAGTTCCAAGAGTAATACAGAACATTAAGAGTAAAAGAGCAATTGAGCGGAACAATTAAAAGTAATAAGATTAAGTATATTTTATGTTTATAAGATGCATATCATAACCATAAATGAAATTGGGACCATTGAGAGGACAGGAATTGTTGTGACAGAAAATCCAAAATTGGGTACCATTTGCTGGTGAAAAAATCGTGGTCTGAGTTTTGTGTGAAGGACCATTCCTCACATTTAAATCAATTCCGTCCTTCACTAGGGCACTGGTGTGGCTCATTTTATCCTCACAGCAACCCTGTGAGGTCATTAGGCAGAGAGATAGTGCCTGGCCCAAAGTCACATTTCCTTCTAATCCCCCTCGCACTGAAATGCTGCTAAATTTATAGTTGCACAACAGCAATATCTTGCTGGGCTTCCTGAACTCCAAGGGTAACCAGGTCTCCCAGAATTTTGTCCCTGTAGACATGGAATCATAGAATCACAGAGTTGGAAGGGGCCATACAGGCCATCTATCCAACCCCCTGCTCAGTGCAGGATCAGCCTAGCCCTAGAGCATCCCTGACAAGTGTTTGTCCAGCTGCTGCTTAAAGACTGTCAGTGAGGAACATAACATCACATAAGAACATAAGAGTCGCCAATGGTCCATCCAGTCCAACACTCTGTGTTACACAGTGGCCAGAAATACCAGTGCCATCAGGAGGTCCACCAGTGGGGCCAGGACATTAGAAGCCCTCCCACTGTTGACCCCCCCCCAAGCACCAAGAAGACAGAGCATCACTTGCCCCAGAGCCCCTATCTATACCTTGTGGCTAATAGCCACTGATGGACCTCTGCTCCATATGCTTATCTAATTCCCTCTTGAAGCTGTCCATGCTTGTAGCCACCACCACTTCCTGTGGCAGTGAATTCCATGTGTTAATCACTCTTTGGGTGAAGAAGTATTTCCTTTTATCCATTCTAACCCGACCGCTCAGCAATTTCATTGAGTGCCCATGAGTTCTTGTATTGTGAGAAAGGGAGAAAAGTACCTCTTTCTCTACCTGCTCTATCTCATGCATAATCTTATAAACCTCAATCATGTCTCCCCTCAGTCGTCGTTTCTCCAAGCTAAAGAGCCCTAAGCGCCTTAACCTTTCCTCATAGGGAAAGTGTTCCAACCCTTTTATCATTCGAGTTGCCCTTTTCTGCACTTTTTCCAAAGCTATAATATCCTTTTTAAGGTGTGGTGACCAGAACTGCACACAGTATTCCAAATGAGGTCTCACCATTGATTTATATAGGGGCATTATGATATTGGCTGATCTGTTTACAATACCCTTCCTAATAATCCCCAGCATAGCATTGGCCTTCTTTATTGCAGTCACACACTGTCTCGACATTTTCAGTGAGTTATCCACTACAACTCCAAGATCTCTCTCTTGCTCAGTCTCTGCCAGTTCAGACCCCATCAATGTGTATTTATATTTAGGATTTTTGGCTCCAATGTGCATCACCTTGCACTTGGCCACATTGAACCCCATTTGCCATGTTGACGCCCACTCGCCCATCCTTGACAGATCCCCTTGGAGTGCCTCACAATCCTCACTGGTTTTCACCACCCCGAACAACTTTGTATCATCCGCAAATTTAGCCACTTCACTGCTTACTCCCATCTCCAAATCATTAATGAACAAGTTAAAAAGCAGTGGACCAAGTACTGATCCCTGCGGTACCCCACTGCTTACCACCCTCCCAGCTCCCTGCCCTCCTCTAAGTGACAGCTTTTCAAATACTTAAAGAGAGTAATCATGTCCCCCTTCAATCTCCTCTTCTCCAGACTAGTCCCTCCATGGCCCTGGTTCTACTTGTTGTGGATGATACAAATACACCTTTACAGGGCAATCCTAAAGCCTGTCTTGAAATGTCTTAGATGAATAATAATAATAAGAGATTGGATTTATACCCCGCCCTTCACTTGGAGTCTCAGAATGTCTTACAACTCCTTTCCCTTCCCCTCCCCACAACAGACACCCTGTGAGGTACGTGGGGTTGAGAGAGCTCTTTCGAGGACTGCTCCTGAGAGAACAGCTCTGAAAGAACTTGTGACTGACCCAAGGTTACACCGGCAGCTGCAAGTGGAAGAGTGGGGAATCAAACCCAGTTCTCCCAGATTAGAGTCTGCACTCTTAACCACTACACCAAACTGGCTCTCTTAGGATTGCACTGGGAACTAACCCTGATGAAAAATTCCGAAAAGATGCATCTGCAGAGCTCCCTGGATGTGTCCCTTCCAAGGCACTTTCCAGTCATGCTAGAGCATACTGGTGGATCGTGTGTGTTATGTTTCCTTAGTTCCTTTTCTTACTATGTTCTACTCATAGGTCAACAACGAGTGACTGCATCAGCACATGCATTTGGTTGGCTTCTTCCACCTATGGTTGTAGTGAGGCACTGTAGGCATTGGTGGGGTGCAATGGAGTTGCTGAGGACTCTTGTTATGCTCTCCACACTTTGGAGTTGGGTCTTTTTTATATGTATTTCCCCTCTACTGAGCAAGCCTAGGATATGGGCTAATGGTGCTAGTGCTGCACAAGCGTCAGCAATGTACTTGCACCCAAGACTCCCCAGATTTGGGCTCTCCAGATTGTGATCTGCAATTTTGCACCTTTGCAGATACCCTGAGACACAGGTAATTTATCATTTCCCCATTATGTATGAAAAACTGGCCCTGCTTGACACTTGCCCAAAGCCACCTACATTGTTCTTGGCTCAGGAAGTATTATAACCCAGATCACCACATTCCTTAGGCAATGTTTTGCACAAAGAACATAAGAACATAAGAGATGCCAGTGTTGGATCAGGCCAAAGGCCCATCCAGTCCAACACTCTGTATCACACAGTGGCCAGAAATACCAGTGCCATCAGGAGGTCCACCAGTGGGGCCAGGACATTAGAAGCCCTCCCACTGTTGACCCCCCCAAGCACCAAGATGACAGAGCATCACTTGCCCCAGAGTCCCTATCTATACCTTGTGGCTAATAGCCACTGATGGACCTCTGCTCCATATGCTTATCTAATTCCCTTTTGAAGCCGTCCATGCTTGTAGCCGCCACCACTTCCTGTGGCAGTGAATTCCAAGTGTTAATTACTCTTTGGGTGAAGAAGTACTTCCTTTTATCTGTTCTAACCCGACCGCTCAGCAATTTCATGGAGTGCCCACGAGTTCTTGTATTGTGCGAAAGGGAGAAAAGTACCTCTTTCTCTACCTGCTCTTTCCCATGC